CCTTTTAATTGTGTTGACAGGCCAAGCAACAACCAGAGTTTTGATCCACAATTCACATATTTTTCTGAAAATGATCATCATATTTGAATTGCGTTGGAGCAGGAGGCTGCAGCAAAGATGAGCAGTCTCATGGAGAAAACACCCCCACCCAAAACAATCAACCCCCTCATACAGTTCTTTCTGACTGAGGTCTGATATTTGTCAAGCACCAAAAAAAACTACAGAATGGAGAAGAAAAAGACGCAGGAGATGATAGAGGTTAGGCAGCGATAGAGATATAGTAGAGCAGGAGGATGTAATGAGACTTGAGAGATTTGTCATATTTAGCATATTTGTATTTTATAGTTAGGGTGTAGTGTAGTGTGTTCATTGTTTAGTCAGTTTCAGTGTGTTTGATATTAAAAAAAAAGTGGCAATATTTGAATGTGAAGCTGCCGCTTCTGTTTGAGGTGGGGCAGCCGCAGACCCAGAAATGGACGGAGCCATGGAGTCAGAACCTTCTCAGACAGAAGAGGCAGAGATGAAAAATAAACAACGTCTGAGACAGAGTGTGGACTTTGACGAGGAAGTGGGAGATCCAATATTTGTTTTAGATGAAGAAAGAGAGGAAGAGTACACCGAGCACCACTCTGAGGTCTGCACAGTGAAGGGGATGGCGAGGCATGCCCACGAGGTTCAAAACCCTGCCGGCTGGGCCAGCAGAACCAAGATCAGTTCTGAGCTCTGGAGAACTCAGTATGTTGATGTCTATTGTAAACACTGACACATACCAGTCAGTGTTTCCAAGCATGGGATGGTCCTTCTTGTACCAATGAGTATTTTCATAGAGTTGCCACTTCTTGCTGTTAGGCCCTCCTTGTTGAGCAACAATTTCATGAACAGTTCTACTTTCTTCTTCATCACTTGCAGATAAGTCATCATAGATTTCTAAATCACTTGAACTTGCTCCACTGAAATTGTCCTTGCTAGAATATGCCTCTATCTGGAATACATGCTCTTGCCTGTGCCCGTTTCTCTGCATGGCACCATCAGGCTTCTGAAACCATTGACCATGTGCTGTGTGCTAATTCAGCTTGATGAGGAACACAATACACATCCAATCAACTAAAACTGAAGTTTCAACATTTATTTGTTCTAACTAATTTTTTCTTTGAATGCTTTGAATATGTGATGATTTCTAGGCAGAAGACCCAATTGGTGCAGGCAGGCAAGCAGGACTCAGGGAATATAAATAAATAATTTATTATTTACAAAATAAAGATGGCTGACGGGGCAGCAGACTTACATAAATCATGGGACAGGACGCAAGATACGAGGAGCAGAACAGGCATCACAGTGACACAATGACCAGACAATGAGGGATGCAGGCAAACAGATTTAAATACACACACACACTAACGAGACTAACACAGAACACCTGTGAAACATCACAGGTGCAGACATCAGAGGGGGAGCAGACAAATATAGAACAGTAGAGGGAAACAGAGACCAGGGAAAGCACAACTCCTGCAGTACCTCCCCCACAAAGACGTCCCTTGACGTCTCCAAGACCCCCACACCCCCCAAAACGTGGGTGGGAGGAGGGGGGAAGCCAACAGGGAGGAGGGCATTAAGGAAAAAAAAGAGACACAAGGGGAACGAAGAACTGTACAGGGTGCACCAGGGGCAAGGCACAACACACGGAAACACGAGGTTAGAGTTCAGCCGGGCAGCTGAGAGGTCGTCCAACAGGCAGGAACAGGTCGGGCAGAGTAGGAGTGAGGACCTCAGCGGACGGACCAGGAGTGAGGACCTCAGCGGACAGACCAGGAGCGAGGACCTCAGCGGACGGACCAGGAGTGAGGACCTCAGCAGACGGGCCAGCGGTGAGGACCTCAGCGGATGGGCCAGCGGCAAGGACCTAAGCGGACGGGCCAGCGGCGAGGACCTCAGCGGACAGACCAGGAGTGGCATGGGATCCACCTCGGAGGCTGCGTGCAGCTTGGGATCCACTTTGGGGGCTGCATGCAGCATGGGATCCACCTCTGTGGCTATGTGCAGCATGGGATCCACCTCGGGGGCTACGTGCAGCATGGGATCCACCTCAGGGGCTGCGTGCAGCAACAGGATCTGGAGTTGACGTGTCCGAGTCTGTGGACTCAGGACAGGTTGGGTCCTCACACAGCGTGGATGATGCAGAGTCTACAGGAGATGGAAAAACAATGGGGACTGTAGTAGGCATGGGAGCGACCACAGGGGCTGCAGTTGTGAGGACCTCTGGAGCCAGAAGCAGGAACCGAGGAAGTGCCGGGGGTGTAGCTGGAGGCTCAGAGTCTCTAAAATGACCCCACAGCTTGTCTTCCAGGGACAGAGCAGTGAGAGTCGTGCTGCCTGCTGGGTCTTGGTTTGGTCTGGTCATTCTGTGATGATTTCTAGGCAGAAGACCCAATTGGTGCAGGCAGGCAAGC